CCAAATTCTGAAAATATAACTACTAGTGTTATGAATGAATGGAGTTCTGAAATACATACCTGCCTCTGAGGATGGTTAAGAAGACAAAGTAAAAAGTTGATTGACTGCAGGGGGATACTGTAGAGCTCTGGAGCCCAACAACAGGCACAGGCAAAACCAGAGCAGCATCTGGTGACATAAAACAAAAGTTCAGCAAGTTCAGATAAGAACAAACTTAAAGTGACCTTAGATGGCAGTGAACTGTCCGTAATTGGAGGTAATTAAATCAACCTAAATTCTAATGACTATACATTGGTTAAATTGAGAGGTATGGACCTCTATAAAAACTACCGGAAGTACTTTGTAGTTTGCAGAAGGTCAAAATAAATGATCATAATTGTTTCTTCTGGCCACAGCACCTGCAAATTTGTAGTGTTCAGCATAACATTTTATCCCAAACCTCTTGAGGTTTGCTGATGCTGACATAAAACTCCTAATCCATGGGTCATGCAAAATACCTGCCTTTTCTGTTGTTGCAAATTTCAGACAAAAACAAAGAGGTACAGTCTCAAGTGCAAAACAATCAGAGAGGTAAATTTTAATTTGATCAAACATGAAGGACTCAGTAGCAACCTTGCTTGGCACAAATTTACTTGTGATCTGATGGAACCAATCTGAACACAACAAACTCCCAGAGATAACAGTTTGTCAATTTCCCATTTCAAAGACAGCATGATAATTGAAAGCTTACAGATATATCACATGGAAATCAAACTTGCAGCGAACAGCAAACTTTCTGATAAAGGCCTAAGTCTAATTCCACTGAAGTCATTGACAAACCCCAGCAGCTTTCAGTAGAAGTTGAGTGAGGCTTAAGGTGAAAAACAACTCTGAGAACAGTTATAATCAACTCAATCCCCAGTTGGGACAGAAAAAATGTCAGAGTATTCTTTACAAGCGGTGTCGGGGTTGAGAATTTGCGAAGAGTGAGTTGCAAGAATCTCTGACACTGAGCACTTTAAGGGACCCTTGCAGAAGGTAATAGCATTTGGCAAGGTCAGCATGTCCCCAGTTAGCGTGGGATTACCATGCCCAGCTGAGAATTTACATGCAGCCTGACAGCAGTTACCCCTTTATTTAGCCCCAAGCTATCTACAGGCTGTCAACACAAACTGCAGCCAAACTGTTGTACTGGAGTGTAAACACATAGAGTGTGGCTGATGAAGCAATAAATAAAATGAGTAGGCAGAGGGGGAGCAACAACTTTGCCTGTATTTTCTAAACAAGTGTAAGAGCTACAAAATGTACAATGCCAAATCTATGGCATGTCCAGTGCCAGACAAGGGAGAGGCAGGAAGTTGGTATTTATGCTGCCTCTGTATGTCTCTGAAGGTAGGTCCAGCTAGAATGTGGTTCAGCCTCAGGTTCAACAGAGACTGACAATATTGGATTCACATGCCCCAGTTGCAGACAAACACATAAAGTACCCATACACCAGTCGTGATACTGGAGCTGTCTCCAAGCAGCATTGTCATTTACACAGGCAGAGATTGAGCAACTTTTCTAAGGAACTTGGTTTCTGTTTTTCAGAGTGCAAAGGAAATATATGGGAGACATTTTTGGTGTTCCTAATCATCTGTGACGTGTTTTAGAGAGATGCACTTCTATCAAGACTTCTGTGCAGGGTTAAATACAAGCAAAGAGGGAAAACCAGTATTTCTCCAATTCCTTGTTAGAAAAGGTATGGAGAAGGGCCCAGAATAATAATTATTCCTTCCACTCCTTTACAGATGAGGTTAAGGCAGACAGAAATGAAAAGACTCACCAAGGTTATGCCACACAGTCAGGAGTTAAACTCAGAACTTCTGAATCCAATGCCAGTGCCTGAACCATACATTCATTTTCTTCTTTGTATTCCCTTACAGTCTTAGGCCATGTGGCCACTATTGGTGAAATGAAAAACAGGTGCAGATTCATGAACAGATGGGAGAGCAGCCCTGGCTGATCTCTGGAGGGTAATACAGGTTTGTTTTCTGGCAAAGAGGGTTCCAAAGGACCATGGAGGCAGCACCCCTGCGCTAAAACTGAAGCTGCTCTGCCTCACACTAAATGTTATCTCCACCAGCCCAGCAAGTGGGAGTTTTGAGGCATGGTCTGTTGTCTGTCAGCAAAAGACACTGCCTTACTGACCTCTCAGACTTGCAGTATTGACATCTCTGTTTTTCAGGCATGCTTGTAAAGATCGTAGAAGACTAATTGCAATTCCATTCTTTGCAGTAACTGCAGCCAATGTCTCTAAGTTGCTGAAACATGAAATTTCTTCCCTTGAGTAGACAATTATGGAATGTCTAGCCCTCAAAAAATGCCATTATTCATATGCAGAATCTTTCTCTGGGAAAATCACTAGTGTTATGGGACAAATCAGCCAGGTAAGATGAATAATACATTTGTTCTGGATCCATAAGGACAAATCTACTTTTGATTTCCAATTCATGGGGAGCTGATAGCTTACTCCGTAACACGTGGTTAAACAAAGAACTTGGACTGCTTTCTCAGTGGGAGAGTGATAGTAGATAACTAAGAGGGCAATTGCCTGGTCCTAAGCACAGGACAGAGTACTAGGATGCAAAATACTTCCCTGCCCTGTGTGACCCACGGTTGTAGTCCCTGCATGGTACAAGACACATTTTCCTTCCATGTGTCACCTGACACATCAGGCAGAAGTATTAAAGAAGTCATGGCAATCCTCAGTTTCCACAGATCCACAGAGCACATATCAAACCCAAGAGGAGCACATGCAAGAGGACTGGGCATGTTTAATAGAATCATAGTTTAGGTTGGAAAGGACCTTTAAGGGCCGTCTAGTCCAACCCCCCTGCAATGAGCAGCGACATCTTCAACTCGATCATGTTGCTCAGAGCTCTGTCCCACCTGACCTTGAATATTTTCAGGGATGGGGGATCTCCCACCGCGCTGGGCAACCTGTTGCAGTGTTTCACCACCCTCATTGTGAAAAATTTCTTCCTTATATCTAGTCTGAATCTACACTCTTTCAGTTTCAAATCATTACCCCTTGTCCTATCACAACAGGCCCTACTAACATTTCATCTCAGATACTACTGGTTCCAGCCTTCTCATAGGTTTCTTTTGCTTCTTGCAAAAATGCTCATTTAGTGCTGTGTCTGAGAAAGGTTAGTTGTCCTTGATAAAGCTGCTTCTACAGCAAAAATGCATGTCCACTTGTGGCAAGAAACTCAAATAAGACCTGACTGTTTCCTTAGACTCTATTTAAATTGGAGGCACAAAATGATTTGCAGCAGTAGGCCAAAACCATACTGCTAACATACATGTATTCTGCTCATGCTAAACTGTAAATCAGATTGGATGGGAAAATCTATCTTATCCCAGTTTTAGTCAGGTTTTGAAGGAAAACATTCTCCACAGATGACACTAACAGAGTTTAACAGCAAAGACCACCCAGGACACTGGGAATCTCAAAATGCTTGGCCTCAGTTTCTCTGATTTGTTCTTCTCAGCTTCATGTGTGCTCTTTGAGAGACAAAAAAAGAGCATTTCCTTCATTTTTAACTCAGATTTCTCTTCCAGCCAAACTTTCATGAAAGCAGCTGGTGCCAGAGGTGGAATGTTCAGAAACCCCATTTAGAGCCAAGTACATACGTTATGGAATCAGTCATGACACTACTTTATAGAGAACAGACAATGAGTTTTGGATCTCTTAAGTACCTTTCCTCCCTGCAAATAAGTTCCTTTCCCCCATTCTTTTGGAAACATCTCTGTCTGTATTGGAAACAGAGGATGTAATTTATTTTTATCGCCTTCCCTGTCAAACTGGCCAACTGCCACAGGGTTCTGCTTTCAGATGTAGCAAGAGGCAGAAGAATCACAATGAAGAGCCATTCATTTCAGTGGCTCCTCCTCCATTCCCTTATCTTATTTTGAGGCTACCTACTGTGCTATCTTATCGCTCTTTCTAATCCTGCAAAACTTCTCTGCAACTTGACCCCTCCACAGAAAGAGCTGACCTGCTTAGACCTCCCTGCTTCTCTACTCCTGTTCTCTTCCTCACAGAGCAAGTTGCTTCTTCCTTTGTTACTTTTGGTCTTCTTTTTCACTGCCTATCTTACCCCTCACTCCTCCTTTTCCTAGATCATTACATTGCATTACATTTCCTAGCTGAATGTACATACAGCTGTGTGGCCTCCTTGGGGTATGCTTAATTTCTCACTGTCCAGCCTGCCCTTTGATGTCTGCTGAAGAAGGATGCATTTTCTTTTCCATCTCTTCACATGTGCCTATTAATTACTCTCTTCAGAGAGACTGTTTACTGACTACCACTCTGTTTACAGTTGAATACAGCTAAACATTTGGTCTTCACAGTCCCCCCTCTACTACACCACCCACCCAGTTTCTTCCCAGTTGTTGCAAAATAGATGTCTCCAAATCACTTTATAAAGTCACAGATGCAACGTACTTACGTTCCCACACTCAGCCTCCTGCTCGCAAACACTGTTTTTGCTTCATTTACAGAGAAGGGAAGGAAGACTTTATATCAGTATTTTTGTCTCCAGTTCTCCAATAAAAAAGAAGCAGTGAGACTTAACAATTTGACCTTTCTGTTGTACATATTCCTACCTTGGGTACTGTAGAAAACCCAGAAAGATCTGTAAGGATAAGACTTCTGACATGTGAAGAAACAATACAAACAGTATGAAGCATAGAAGTATGTTCACTGAAATGAGAAGGGCTAGCCTATGCCTAAACTGTGCGTATGCCTTCATGGGATCAAGGGTCCTCCAGCAGAGGGAATTTTAGCAGGCTGGGGGGGGGGGGGGGGGGATAAAAATTACTCTAGCAAATGTGCAGAAGAGAAGAATGATATGGTTATAATGTAGCAATTCAGATCTCTGATAAAAATTCCTTCAGATGTCCTTCTCATTCCATATGGAGCTTAAAATATTACAAAATAATATGAAATAAATTTAAAACAAATGTGGGCTAAATTATGTTTTTTTCCAATGAACAGATTATTGTCAATCTTTTGCTTTAAAATGGTGTTTGGGAAAAGGAAGGAAGCAGATACCTCAAAGAGTTTAGGAACTGATTTATGACAAGGTATATGAAGCTCACGGAGTGTGAGCATGAGCAGGAAAGAGTGAGAGGAAGGCTGTCAGTAAAAGGGTCACGCACTCGCGCAGATCAACAGTGGAACAACCCAAATACCTCAAACCTTTTAATTTGTGTTCTGGCATGGCATCCTTGTCTGTACAATTAGAGATGTTACCATTTCCCGTGGGTAAGGTTGCCTGCTACTTTCCAATTTCAGCTCATATTTTTAGTGCCTATTACTTCACAGATTTTAACCATGGGACCAAGTTTTCAGTCTTGAGAATCTGGCTGAAATCTTTAAAGATTTTCAGCAAAAATAAAGCAGCCTTTCCAACAATTTTCCAACTGCCATTTTGTGCATATTCCTTTTTTGTTACCATTACTGGGGAATTTTACTTCCCATAAATTTACCACTCAGAAATCAAAATGATAACAGTCTGATATATTTCTATAGGTCCTTGTATCAGAAGTGTTCCTTTCCATTGAAAATGGCCTGAAAACGCTACTGGTTTAATAAGCATATGTTCAAGATAGGCTTATTAGATTTGGGTTGAATGAGACTTCCCATGTAATTATTCCTTCCAGCCCTCCAGGTGAGTGTAATGCTGCACATCAGAACTGGGAAGAAGGACTCGCTCTCTGTTCCCCTGTCTGTGCTGGTCTCTTCCATATGCTGAGGAGGAAGAGTCAGCTGCTGCTTTACCTAAATGAGGCAGCGCCGACACGGGGCCTGGAAGGAAGGGAAGCCAGCATGCATCTGGCCGGGAGGCGAGAGCGGGACCGGATGAGAGCTGCACGCCGGAAGGGACAAACCCTCAAGGATGGACAAGGGGCCAGGCAAGAAGTGGCATAGGTAAGCGAGGCAGAAATGTCTGACACTTACCTGTGGATGCTGGAAGGGACCCAGCATTGTTGAATCTCACTATTGCTCTTCATGCTGGAGCAGGAAACCTGCACCATGGTAATCATTCCATTAGTTAATTAGCAGAGGCGAGTACCTGGAAATTGTATGTTTTAAGCTTGCTTATAACCAAGACAATTTAGAGACCATATCTCATGTAAGAGAAACTGGGGGTGGGGTGGGCCAGGGGCATGGGAGGTAGGAAGTCTGGGAAGACCTGCGGAAGCAGGTACAGACAGCTCAGTTTATATAGTCTTCCAGCTGAAAAGTCAACAGTTGTAGAAACAGTAGAATTAACCAGTTGTTGTTATTTTTCATCAGATATCCTGGATATGCAAAATAGCCACACCAGAAGAATAGACAGCGAAGCTTAACAGACTCATGTCATTTTGGTTTCATTCACACTCTTTTTCCTGATACCCCTAACACTCGTGTAAATGCAGAATCTGTATTAATATCCAGAAAACTTTATAATGAGAGCTTTATTGACACATTTATTATACTTCTGTATAACAGGATAATGATGACCAGCTGGCTACAGATAATGACAGGCAGTAATTTATATTGGGTTACTACATTGTGTTCTGTAGGCTGTCACTTTTTTTGGTTTGTTTTTTTTTCTTTTTTTTTTGTCATTTTTAGCATTCTTGCCCTTTTGTACTTGCATTTTATGATGCTCACATTTACTATTCTTGCATGCAAGGAAAGGAATGAGCACTTAAAAATCCTTTTGTTTAATTACGCTTTCAGCTATTAATTAGTCTCATAAACAAATTAAATGGACATTTAATTAAATGTTACTCTTTTAAAAGGGTAAACTGGAAGCAAATCCCATTGATTTAAAACCGATACTGCATGCCTTTATCTTAGTCAGGTAGCGTTAGGGATTAATGTACTTTAGCTGTTACATTTATAATCAGATACGTTAGCATTTATGTTTTTGTAGCATACAGAAGATCAGTTAAGATGTGAGCTCTCTTCAGCTCAGTACTTTACAAACAGAACTTGAAGTTTATCTGCAAGATTTACCTCCTTTCTTTGTTACCTTGAAAATAAATTATTGTGATACCCTCTTCAGCTTTTGCAGGTGTGAACTGACCTTTCTGATTACAATTCAAAACATGAGCCAAAAATGTCCCCTACCTTATCAATTTATCCTTATATATAGGAATTTTTTTCCTACAGAGTGAGTTTTCAGTATTTTGAGATTGGTATTTTTCATTCTAGCACATCAAGGTTCTAGTCTGATACAATAAATACCGAGCCCACAAATGCCCCAAAGAACTCATCTGATTTTGAAAGGAGTTATTTCAGTGGTCAGAGAAAATAATTTAGGAGTAGTCTGGAGCACCTAATCCATTTGTGCAGCCAATAATTGGCAATTTACTGTCATTCCAACAAACACGCAAACTAGCGTTTGTGATTGATTCTGTGGTAAGCAAATGCTTCTGATACTGTTCATCTCTGCTCATTGGTGGGGGCTGGGGAGTAAAATGCGGAGTGATCCTCCTCGGACATCTCATTCTACAGATCACTTTATAACCTAATGTTTGGAGAACTTATTTTTATAACGATTGCTACAGACTCATTCACGTTCATGAATTTTTTTAAGTTGTATTTGAATATAGGAGACTAATCTTCTACAGTTCCATCACAAGTATTTCTTTTTCCTTTTTGCATCCTGGATTGAGAGGATGTGCATTTAACACAACATTGTGTGTCAAAACTTGCATGAAGGTATGGAACCACTTAATTTACTTGTATATAAATAAGTAATCTAGCAAACTAGTAAATCAGTCTGTTCTGGCATTTCCAAGAGTCTTTCTTAGCTGTTAAAATACAGTGAAGGGGGAGAGAAAAAGCCTCAGTGCAAAAATAAAGTAGGGCCAAAAATCCATGTTAGCAAGTTAGCAGGACAGTTGCGTTCATTTTGTATAGGAGTTGAATGTCATGCCCATTTACTTAGAATCATTTCCTCCTGGATTTTTTTTTGTTGTTGTTTAAAGAGCTAAATTGTTGAGTTTTCCAAAACAAATATAACTTAAAATGTTATTCAGAGCATTGATGGAAAGAGATAGCTCCAGCCACAGGTTCTGTGGAAGTTTCTCATGCTTTTCTGAAGGAGTAGCAGGGGTTGATGTCTAACATAGACTGAATTTTGAGTTACATAGTAAATTGTTTTCTCATCTGTTCATAGTTGGCAGCAGTTACTGTTCTGACTGATACAGTTTATATTTAATACCTTTTGTCTCTATACATTTAGGTGATACTGTTAAAAATACAGTGGATCTCTCCTGAAAATGAAACAGCCTTGGAATTCCCGTTTCTCTAGTCTACCTGAAATAATCAGAATTCTAAATATTTAGCTCAGCCACTGACTTTCTAACAGATCTGCCCTCCTGGATGAGCTATGATCAACATTTTGAGGTACAATTTTCTACAAGACTTTTCTTCGTCTAAAATCAGTTTTTATTTAACATATGTTTTTAATTGCACCAAAACATTTGAAAAGTCAGGATTAGGAGAGAATTTAAAGGGATTCTGTTTACAGCCCAGACGATTGGCAGTTTCAGAGCTGAAGGCCTGGTCTGTGCAGTTTATGACCAATACAAACAATCCCAGGTGACTGCAAACAGCTAAACTAGCTGAAGTCAGACTGAACATGTACATGGAGTTGCTTTGTGGTAGCAGTTCAACAGTGTATTTGTGTCAACCAGGAAATAAACTCACAGTATTTTGCAGGGGCATCCAGGTTGACAGTGGGATTAACTTCAGTAAAACAAATGATGGTTAAACAGTACAAAACACCCCCTGCAAGTGGCACCTGACTTACCTGCTCTTTGACAGCAAAGACCTGAAGGGAAGAGAAGAAAGGATTGTTGCAGTCTCCTACTAGCACCATTTTCCCACTTTCTGGGCAACTTTTCCCCCACTGCACTGGGCAGGTGAGCAGCAGGGAGGCAGGAGCCCGGGCTGTGTGCTCCCTCCCCCGAGGGACAAAGCCCTTGCCCTTCCCCTCCCTCCCTGCCTGCCTGCGCCTAGGGCAGCTGCACTGTGGCTCTCTGCTCTGCCACACCTTGCCTGCACGCAGGCAGGAAGGTACCAGCTTGCTTATTCATTCCTGTTGGGCCTTCCTTAACCCCACTCCTGAAACGCTGCCAGGTTTTAAAATTGGGACATATTGTTTCTTCCTTTCACAGGACATTTTAGTATCCACAGGTTAGGTGTATTGAGAAGCATAAGGTATTAGTGTTGCAAGCAAAAAGCAACATTTACCATCCAGTATCTAGGTTGTCTTTTACAGACTGTTGCCTTTTATTTGTGTTCTGCCATGACTTTCAGATGCTAATGGGGAAAATGCTAACATTGATTAATTCTCAGGGAAATGTTAACTCTTATATAAAGAATCCAGCATCTTATTTTTAACAGCATTTACTCAGTGCCAGAGGAAAAAAAGATGGAAGTCCATTTTAAGCCTTTCCCCAATGCTTTAGATTTACCAGAAAGCTTTCCTACAATATTCCAAATGCTTGTTCTAGAAGAACTGTATTTAACAAAGGTATCCCAGCATGCATGTCTTACCCACACCCACACAGAAAAGATCAAATGGAGAAAAAAGAAGGAAATTAAAAAAAAAAAAAAGTAGAACTTGCGATCAGGAAGTATATGCAAACAGGACAGCAGAAGTATGGTAAAGATCAAAAAGGGAAAAATGCCATTTTTACTCAGAAATAAGTGACAAACTTGTAGTAGGTCTCATTCAGAAAAGGGGAGAGGAGTGATGATGGACACTCGAGGGCTGGATTTAGAATTATTACTGGAATAAAAACATTAGAATTGAAAACACGTGCTCAGGAAGGCACCAGGGCACCTCTTCCACAGCTACTATTAAAGATGCACTAGAAGACATACTTACAACATTGCTGAGTCTCACCTCCCATATTTGGCCAGAGTGCTGGCCTGTTAGCAAAACTTGCCTGTATATACATTGTGCAAGACTCATCAGCATGCAAACTAGATCTCAACAGAATAATTAGATTTTCTAAGGTTACAAAGAACAGTATCAAGAGTTAGAAACTACGCAGTACACAGCAGCCATACACCACATTCAGTTAGCTATCATAACTTTATATATATAGTAAGTCTATTTGCATTTGTCTTTAATGTGCTTTTCCCAGGGATATTTATTTAGAGAAGAGTTGACGAAACTCAAGGTTCTACAAAGTCTGCTTGTTACGTGACGTTTTTGGCTTAAACAGTTGGGGACTAGGAATTGCACAAAGATTTCCCCACTGTCTGTATATCCCTTGGGCATTGTACACTTCCATTTTCTTCTCTTTGCACTTGCAGAAAAAAAAAAAATGTAGAAAATGCGAAAATTTTCATTTCAAGCTTAAACTACAGCCTTTTTCCTCAGAAAACCTATCTTAAGGACAGGCAAAGTAAGGGAACAGGATGTAGCAGGAGGCATACGCCTACGGGACCAGCTTCTGCTCCAGGTTTGCTGTTTGCCTGTGCAATCCCCTTCCTGCACAGCAGCAAACGCAGCGTCGGCACCTGCTCCCTGCTCCTCCTCAGCTCCCTGGGAATTTCTGTAGCAGCTTCACAGGAGTAGCAACAACACTTGTTGTGCCTGCAAGTTATGCTCTGTGCTTGGAGAGTGCGTGCTAGGTTTTACTCAGATAAAGGCAGAAGCTGGTATTGCTGGTGTTTTTCAAGCAACACATTACCTATGAGGAGAGAGAAATGTAAAAAACTCACTGATTTACCATGTTAAAAAAAGATGGCACATTTATTGCTACATAAATGTTATATACATAGTGTTTTCTGTTACATTGACAGAAATTTTTTTGAACTTCTTGCTGCTGGTTGGAAAGGTTTATCAGCAATACCTTGAAATTTGACACAGGGTACAAATCTGCAATAAACCAACAATGGAAACTGGAGAACAAGATGAGAAGCAATTCATCTCGGACAATTAGCTCTTACAATACTCCATAGGTACTACACGGTATGCTAGAACCCTACTATGGTCTTACAATGCTATTGTAAATTTCTGATATTAATGAACAGGTTATGGTAAATAACCCTACATTTTTACTACCTAATATAGTAAAATAAAGTAAGAAACTTTTTACTGAAAACTTTTTCGATTTCAAAAATCTAGAAAGAGTAATATTTAGAATTCAAGAAATTTTCTTACAAGATTATTGTATAAAAGACTAGCTACAGTGAAAAATAAGCCAAATGTTTTTTTCTTTCTATTTTATGAAGGAAAGCTTCTGGGCATACTGCAAAGTCTAATATAGCCAAAAAGACAACAAGCTTAGAAGGAAAAAGGCCAGGCAGTGGCACGTGATCACTTTCACACGTCATAAGCAACAAATTTGTTTAGCTGATAAACACTGAAATGAAGAACAAGGCCACAGATATAATCAGGTGTTATTTGATGATATATGCAAATTAAAGTAATAGAAATGAGCCCACTAATTCCACACTGTTTTGTTAGGAACCATCCAAAACATGAGCTTAAATTCATTAGTTTATTTTAATAATCCATCTTTTGTTCTTTCAATTTAAATGACTTCATAAAAATTATTTTGTTCCTGTTTTGTGTGTGAACCAATTGCCAGTGATGAAGGATGCACTATAGAAACAACAGCTCAGACAACCTTGGCTTAGGAAATTTCCTCCCATGGTCATTGCAGTGGAAGACAGTTTCCATGGAAGTGCAAAGGGATTTTAACCATTTCAACACACCTGTGACAAAGGAATACTTATGGACACTCTTCTGGTGGAGAAACGTTGCAAGGTTTAATGCTAATATGGCTTGGGAGGGGGTCATTTGTTTGCATTTGATTCACACTATTTTTTCTCCACTGACAAGCCATACAAAAATGACAAGATAATTGATGTGTACAGTAAGGAAAAACTGGTGACCATTGCTCTTATATTCCATAATGTAAGTAAGCCCACCTTGCTGGTGGTTTTATCATCACACTACCTGCCACGGTGAATTTAGGATTTTACTATTCACCAAAATTACAGCCTGAAAAAAATCTCCTTTGTATTT